TTATTCCCTCCTTAGGTAGTGACCTGACCAAGCACAGCGTTGAAGTCAACAAGTTTGCAGCCTTCCTGGGCTTGCACAGTCAATGGGGCCAGGAAGGTGGGATGTCACCCATTGTTGTAGGGATCCCCTTTCTTGCATAGTATGATAAAACACACACACCCACACACACACACACACACCACACACACATGCCTAGGCTGTTAGTCTCTGCTGCTAAATCATTGTGGAACCTTGGGCAAATCATTAAGCTGAATTGGGTCCTGATTTCTCCATCTAGATGCTAGAAATACTAATATCCTTCTTTGAATTCACAGGGATATCATGAAACTCAAGTGAGGCAAAACATGTGAAACTGGTTTGAAAAATATAACACCTGGGGCAGCTAGGTCACACAGTGGATAGAGCTCTGGCCTTGGAGTCAGGAGGACCTGAGTTCAAATCCAGCTTCAGACACTTGACACTTACTAGCTGTGTGACCCTGGACAAGTCACTTAAGTGTAAATGCTATATAGTTTGTCATTACTTACATAACTGAAGATACTAATGCCTGACTAGATTAGAGTAGTCTAGGCAAGACTAAACTATAGACAGTATGGCTCAATGGAAAGAATCCTGGAGTGAGAGGACCTGGGTTCAAATCCCGCTAGTAACATTGTGTGACCTTGGGCACAACTTAGTCACTTAGCCATTCCAGGCCTCAGTTTCCTTATCTGTAAAATGAAGGAATGACCTCTGAGAGTCCTTCCAGACCTAAATCTGTTCTCCTGTGAAAAGTCTGCCATTGCTTTTTGTTGCAGACCTCATTGGTCCCTCCTAGCTCTAAAGACCTTGCTTTGGAGCTAGGAGACCTGGATTCCAGTCCTTCCTCTGATCTTCTGGTATGACCTTGGACAAGTGACTTAACAGGTCCCCAAGCACTGCTCTGATACTCTAAGGTACAGAGAAGGAGCCTATAAGTAGAGGTAGAGCTAAGTGTCCTCATCTGGAACTAATAAAATCATTGGTCCAGCCCCTATCCCTCTAATCCTTCATCTGTTCAATGTCTAGGCCTTGCCAAGAACTCATTATCTTTCCCTCCAAACCCACCCCACCTGCTAACTTCCCTGTTTCTGTTGAGGGCACCATCATTCTTCTCATGACCGAGAGCTGTCCTTCACTCTACTCTCATTCATCTCTCCCACCCCCATATCCAATCAGATGCCAAGTCTTGTCAATTCTGCCTCATCAATATCTCTCCTATTTGTCCCCTCTTCTTGACTCACACTACCACCACCCTGGTCCAGGCCCTCATCACCTCTCACCTAGACTATCGTAATACCTTCAAAATTGTTCTCTCTGCAAGGAAGGGAGGCAGCTAGATGGCACATGGATAGAAAACTGGGACTGAAGTCAGGAAGAACTGAGTTTAAATCCAGCCTCTGACACTTACTAGCTGAGTGACTCAGGGCAAGTCACTTAATCTGTTTGCCTCAGTTTCCGCAACTGTAAAAAATGGGGATTGTTGTGAGGATCAAACGTGATAATGTTGAAAAGGGCTTAGTACAGTGTCTGGCACATAGTAGGTGCTTAATAATTGCTTGTTTTCTTCTTTCCTTCCCCTGCATCCTGTCTCCCCCTCACCATCTTAATGGAATGATCTCAGAGGCTCTCTAATCCAATCTCCTCATTTTGTAAATGAGGAAACTGAGACTAAAAGTGATTGATTGCAGAACCGACTGTTTAAAAAAGGCAAGAGAAGGGTACACCAATGTGGTTCATTTACAAAGGTTTCTGTCCAAAGTAGGTAAAAGGGAGAAATTATGGAGAGCAGAGGTGAAGGCCTCCCTGTGTAGTGAGGCTCAATGTGTAGTAAGAACGTGGCCCTTGTTGGGCAGCTAGGCAGCTCAGTGGATAGAGCTCCAGCCTTAGAGTCAGGAAGACCTGAGTTCAAATCCAACCTCAGACCAGACACTTGACACTTATAGCTGTGTGACGCTAGGCAAGTCACTTAACCCTAATTGCCTCACAAAAAAAAAAAAAAGCTAACGTAAGAATGTGGTCCTTGTGTATGTCTTGAAGGGAGGCAGAGTAGACATCTCTAGCCCCTTCTTCCCTCACCCTTCTCCAAGGGAGACTTTCTCCCATCTTCCACAAGCTGTCGTATTGATATTCTGGCCATGTCATTCTTGTGGTCGAGAATCCTGAGTGGTTCTTTCCCTTCCAGATAACATACAAATTCTTCTCTTTGACAATTAAAGTCCTTCACAGTCTGGCCTCAGTCCATTTTTCCAGGATGTTTGCATATGACTTTCTCTCACTCTAAGCTCCAGCCAAACTGGCTGACCAGCAGCTCCTCATATACAACACCCCATCTCCCACCTTCATGCCTTCAGCCTGGAGTTAAACAATTAAAAAATGGCCTGGTTTGAAGAGACCTCAGAGGCCATCTGGTCTGACCTCTGAAGTGGCTGCCGCTCCCTCCCCCCATGCCTAGAAGGCTCTCCTCGCTCCCCTCTACCCCCCTTCAAGGATCACACCAGGGTCACCTCCTTCAAGAGACCTTCCTTGATTCTCCTGGTTTTTAGCTCCCTCCACTCCCCCAATCCCCCTTAACTGTGTTTATTTCATACACATCTCATATTTACTCATCTCTGAACGTGTAGCATTCCTCCAATTAGAACTCAAGTTCCATGGGGACAACAACTGTCTCACTTTGTATCCTCAAGACCTAGTGAAGTGCTTGCCATGTAGGAATAGATTAATAAATGTTTGCTGATTGAATAATTGATTAATTGGTTGGTTGGCCATCTGGTTGGTTGGCCATCCCTCACAGAATCAAAGAATGATAGAATTTCAGAGAGATAGTTAGAAGGTGGTATAGTGCATAGAGTGCTAGGCCTGGAATAAGGAAGACCTGTGTTCAAATCTGCCCTCAGGCACTACAAGCTGTGTGACCCTAGGCAAGTCACTTAACCTCCAGCTGCCTCAGTTCCCTCATCTGTAAAATGGAATTAATTAATAACCCCTATTTCCCAGGAGTTTTGTGAGGGTCAAATAAGATGATAATTATAAAGCATTTAGCACAGTGCCTGGCACATAGTAAGTGCTATATAAATATTGTTGTTGCTATTGCTGAGTCATTCATTCATGTCTGATTCTTTAGGACTCCATGGATCATAACCCGCCAATACTGTCCATGGAATTTTCTTGACAAAGATACTGGAATGTTTTGCCATTTCCTTATCCAGTGGATTAAAGCAAATGAAGGTTAAGTGACTTGCCCAGGGCCATACAGTTTGTAAGTGTCTGAGGCCAAATTTCAATTCAGGTCTTCCTGACTCCAGGTCCCAGCACTCTAGCTACTGAACCACCTAACTGCCTCCATATAAATGTTAGCTATTATTATTATCATTAAGATCAAATGTGATATTTGTAAAGTGCTTAGCTTACATCTACTGGTGTGTAGTAGGTACTTAATAAATGCTCATTTCCTTCCTTCTTTCCCATAAAGGACCTTGGAGATCGTCTAATCCAACTGTCTCATTTGACAGATGAGAAAACTGACCATCAGAGAGACGTAAATTGACTTGCTCAAAATCATACAAATAGTAAACAAAAGAGCCAACTACCAAACCCAGAACTTATGACGACAAGCCCAGTCCTCTATCTACCAAATGTCACTTCCTCAATATACAGCATTCTACATTTTTTTCCAAGACACACTTTTGCAAACATAACTGTATTTGTCCCTCATCCAATGCACCTGTGAAGGAGGCAGGGCAGTGATCAAAAGTGTCCTCATTTAACAGGGAAAGAAACTGAGGCCTTGATGGGGGATGAAGAAACTGATGCCCAGAGTGGAGCAGTGATTTTCAGAAGGTCACACAGCAAGTCAGACTCCCACTTCTGTTTCTACTGAACCTCTCTGGCTCCCTCATTTCAGTCTCCCATCCCCACAGCTGGGAGCACAAAGGCTCTTCACAAAAGACTGCGTTATGTATGACCAGCTTGGATTAGCCAAGGAATCATCTTCTCCTTAATGTCTCTTTCCCTAACCCTGCCCAGGTCCAGCTGGTCCTGATCACACGATGATTTCCTGGGCTATGTCCATGGTGTGAGGAGAAGAGGGGAGGAAGAGCTGGGGATCTGACCTGGGGTTCAAGCCTCTTCTCTCCAAACTGTTTTCTCCCTACATAGGCACTGTTTTAAAAAAAAAAAAAAAAAGCCTCCTTCCCTCCCCTCCCCAAATACTTTCTCTTGGGGTCATTCCAGTTCTGGGCCAATAGGTGGCCAGCCAGATTAATGCTAAGCAAGAGCAGGGTGAAGTTTGTGGTGGGGTGAGAAAGCCCCAGAGTAGTGGTGGAGGAGAGGGAGAGGTTGTGTGAGTAGGGGGGAGTGAGGTTGGGGGGGAAGGTGGGAGGAGAGGGGGTGGGAGGTTGTGAGCAGGGGAGGGAGGTTGAAATTTGAGCCCTGAGCTCTGGGAGTGGAGTTGGGGGGAAGAAAAGAGAGATTTGGGTTGGAGTGTTTGTGGTTTTTTTTTCCCTTACTGGGATGCGCGGCGGGGTAAAAGGGGGGTGGGGTGGGTGGGGGGAGGCTGCTGGATAGTTAAGAGGACTTACAGGAGCTGAAGAGAGAAGAAGAGAGACTGCAGAGCAAGGGAGTGAGGGAGGAAGGAAGGGGAAGACGAGGAAAGAATAGAGGTGAAGGGGGGGGAGAGGGGGAGTGTGGGGGGAGAGGAAGCAGCTTCGGTATTTAGAGCGAATATAAATAGCCTAGCTGTGTGGTTCCCAACCACAGCCTCCCTGAACATCTCAGCAGGCAGGGTTCCTCGGCTGTCTGTCTGTCTGTCTATCTGTCTGTCTCCCCAGCCTGACCCGGGACAGAGGAGAGCAGCCTGGCCAAGGGCAGGGGAGACCCATGAAAGGTTTTTAACTGTGCCACCCCCCCAACACAGACATACCTCTACATAACATAAATACACACCTATTCACACTTATACATACACACAAACACATATATCAATACACACACGCACACATTCCACACAGATACATAACGTATATCCCCACACACATTCCACAACCTGGGAAGCCCCGAGCCAAACCATGCAGACCGGCACTTTCATCCTAGTCCTGACCACTGTGGCCACGGTGAGCACCCAGCGGAGGAGGGCCGAGGGCAGTGCCCATCGCCGGTCTCACCGCGTCCAGCACGGTCAGTGCAGCTATACGTTTGTCCTGCCGGAACCCGAGCCGTGCCCCCCAGGGCAAGAGGCCTTTGGCAGCAGTGCCAACACCCTGCAGCGGGACTCCCCGGCAGAAGCACTTCAGGGGAATGACTGGTCAGTCCAGAGGGTGCAACAGTTAGAGCGAGTCCTGGAGAACAATACTCAGTGGCTGCTGAAGGTGAGTTGGGGGAAGGGCATGGGGTGGGGGGAGCCTGCTTGAAGGAGGAGGAGGCAATGTGGCCCTTCAAGGCCATGGGGCTGGACTGGGCAATTTTAGGGCCCTTGGAAATCTGGAGGCTCCTTCTACAGTCAATAATGAATAAGAAATCAGACAAGAGCAAAGGGGAAAGAATAATCCTTAGTCATCGAATGGCAGTCTTTAGGAGAGTCAGTTTGGTGCAGTGGAAAGAACCAGGAGACCCGGGTTCAAGTTCCTACATTGCTGCATCTTAACGTTGTCTCTATGGGCAAGTCCTTTCCCATCTTGGAGCCTCAGGTGCCATTTGCAAAAATCAGAATTTGAAAGGAAGGGGGGAGACGTGACAGTTCCTAGCGAGGATGTGAAGGTCTGTCATGTAGAATCTTAATCTGCTAAGTAATAGAAAGGAGCTATGGGAGCAGTGGTCAGAAGGGCCACAGAGGCAAATTATGGTTCAATATAAGGAAATACCTCCTAACCATTAGAATTGTCCAAAAGTGGAACAGGCTGGGGTGGGGTGGGGGGGGGGGGAGTGGAGAGTTTCCAATCATTGGAGGTCTTCTGGCAGGGGATCCAGGGCCACGTGTCCTGGAATTCTTGCTCAGGTATGGGGTGAACTAGACGGTATCTGAGGTTCCGTCCAACTTTGAGATTCTGTGATCCAGGGATTCAGTTTCTGTGATTCTTAAATTGACTAATGATTCATATTGTACCAACTTCCCTTGGTGGTGAGGAGAGTGCTTTGTAAAGGTGAAAGCTGTGGAAATGTGAACTATTGTTGCCATTTCTGCTATTAACATAGAACATCAGCACTGTCAGAGACCTTATGGCATATGCCATCTCAGCAGGCAGGGTTCCTCAGCATCTTGCCCAAACCCTCATTTACAGATGAGGCTACTCAGGCCCAGAGGGGAAATGACTTGTCTAAGGTCACATAGGGAGTCACATCTGAATGTAGAAACCACGTCTCCTGTCTCCCAGCTCAGGGCACCTTCTACTGCATCCTGATCAAATAGGATCTTTTAAATGTTTGTTTTCTTTAATATAGTCCCAACTGTTTATTTGAAAAGCACTTTCTTCACAATAACCCTGTGAGATACAGTAGTTCTAGGATTATTACCCCCATTTTACAGATTTATGGCAATGGGATTTTTGTCATTCAATTTAATTAAATAAACATTTATTAAGCACCTGCTGTGTAGTAGGTCTTGTTTTCAGTGTTGGGAATACAAAGGTAGATCAGATACAGGCCCTGCTGCAGCCAATAGAATATCAGGTTTTGGAGCCAGGAAGACCTGGGTTCCAATGTTACTTCTGGCCCTGGACAAGTCTCTTAGCTTCTTGGAGCCTTAATTTCTTCATCAGTTAAAAGTGTTTAGATTAGATTGCCTCTAAGGTCCCTTCTAGCTCCTATATTCCTATAATCCTATATTCTATGATTCCTATAATCCAATTAGGGGAAGATTAAGTACACAAATAAAGAATACAAGGAGAGAGAGATAAGTTCAGAGAAGAGAGCCAAGGAATCTGCTCTGTGGAATTTGAGACAGGAAAGAGTAAGGTAGGAAGAGGAATAGGAAGAAAGACTTCACAGAGGAAGTCCTGCTTGAGTTAGGTTTCAAAAAAAAAAGTAAAGGGAAACATGAGGTTATAATCACTTATCTCTAAAATGAGGCCCAGGGAGGGGCAGTGGCATGGCTGGGACGAGAACCCTAGTCTTCCAATGGCAGTCCAGGATTCTTCCTACCATATTCGTTGCGGAGACAGCACGGTATCCCGCTTCTTCTACTTATGGCTATGTGACCATTGATAAGTCGCCTCTCCTCTCTGCACCTCAATCTCCTCATTGTAAAATGAGGTTAACACTTTTAGGGCCTGCTTCACAAATTGTCGTGAGGCTCAGATAAGATCACTTACATGAAATGCCCAGAAGACTTTATAGCTACTACATCGATGCCACCATTCACTTATGCAAAGACCGGTTATTAAGTACTGAACATATTCAGGACACTGCGCTTAGGAGCAGAGAAGTTAAAAAAGATAATCGGAGAAGTGGCCCATACCCCCACAGAGCTTCCAATAGAACCAGGGGGCACAGGCACAAACACCAATATACAAGATTGTACAGTGACTATGACATAGAGTATAGTAAGAGAGATCCAAAGAAGCCTTTAGGATGGAAAGATCATTTCTTATGGATTAAGGAGGGAATGAGATGAGATTTCCAAAAACAGAGATGGAGGTGGGAAGGAAAGAAGAGGTAGAAAGGCATTTTAGGCATAAGAAACTGATTGAGCAAAGGAGAAGAGGTGGGAAAGTGAGAGTGTATAAGTGAGACGTTGAGTGGTCCGTGGTGGAGAGTAGGAAAGGGATCTCAGAATCCCAATAGCATGTCAGTGTTAGAAGGTCCCTCAGAAACCTTGTAGTCCAACTGACACCTACAACATCCCCAAAGTGGCCTTTTTCTTGAAGTCCTCCAATGATGGGGAGCTCACTACCTTGTTTGACAACCTGTTCCACTTTCAGATAGCTCTCATTTCACATGATAGTCTTTACATCCTCGAAGACCCCTATCATGTGCCCACCACCACCAGCAAGTGTTCTCTTCCCCAGGTTACTTTAGCCATTCTTCATATGATAAGATCCCAAGATACTTCACCACTCTGGTTGCCCTCCTATGAATATACCCTGCTGTGGACATTTATCATTCTCATTCTCAAACCGTAACACTCAGAATTAAACAGAAATGGACCTATCACTTCCCTTATTCTCGACAGTATTCATTTCTTAATGCATCCCAAGATCTCATTAGCATTTTTGTTTGCCATATGCACTATTGACTCATGCTGAGCTTGCAGTCCACTAAGACACACCCCCACCCCCACCCAGATCTTTTTCAAATGAACTTCTACCTCACCAAGCTTTTCCCATCTTGTGCTTATGGGGTTGACTCTACCACATTCCCCACAGTGTCTGTTCCAAACTTTCTCTTCTCTCCTCAAAACGCTGATACTACCCTTTCTCCCCTTCTCAGTGGAGTACCCCCCAATTTATTTTCTGGCCAGCAACACCTTATTATTCCCAGTAAGTCTAATCTTCACCCCATAGAGACCCTCTTAGAACTTGAAAGAAATAAGAGAGAACTTTATTCGTTGACCTTTTAATCATTCGTTTCAAGTGAGGCATAAAACAGAGAGATATGTTAGCCAAAAATGTTTGCCCTTTCTGTAGAGATGATACAGAATAAAACCAAATCAAAGAAGGCTTCACTGTAGATTGTGGGGTCCTCCAGATGTTTCTGTTCATGGATAATGTTTTGATTTCAACAGAAATATCATTAGTACATTGCAGAGCCTCCTAAATGTGACACACAATCATTCAAAAGAATTTGGACTAAATATCGGCACAGGAAAAACAAAGTGGATGAAGATGCCCATTGTCAAAGTTATGATAGCAGTTAAGTAAGTAACCTGTAGAGCTTATCCATGGATATTACATGTGCATATATAATATGTATACAGATATACATATCCTATATTAAACTTATATAGAATGTCCTAAAATACAATGCAGTTTTCTGTTATTAAAAAACTTAAAACTGAACTAAGACTTTTGGGACACCCTGTATAATATTATGTATGTATACATATATTATACACACATACATATATCTATATCACAGAGAGACACAGTAAAAATGAAAAATTAGTTGGACCTAGAGTTGAACATGAGTAGAAACCAGGCCAGACTGCCTCTGGGAAATTGCAGAGTTCTTTTAATTGCCCCTAAGCTTCTCCCTAAAACAAAGGTCCATCTTTAGAATAACATTATTCTTTTAGTGTTGTTCTATGGCTACAACTCAGGGAGCAGTGCTATCTCCAAACAATTAAAGCTGTGATTGACCCACAGGGCAATGGAGAAGCAAATGAGGGCTGTGAGTAGGCCACTGACACGTTACAAATGAGGAATTATGAAAGAGAAGCCATCTAGAGAGTGCCATCAGGGAAATATAGGAGGTGGGCTCCAGGGGGCACTCCTATTCCCAGCTCAGTGTCCCACAATTCACCTGCTCCATTGGCACATTAGTTATGTCATGAGAAAGTGAGGAAGATGCCTAAAATGCAGGGTGGACTGTGGGGGTGAACTGATGAAAGGAAGTGGATAAAAGTTGCTGAGGATGGACTGACATGAACAGGGTGTGATCTGTGACGCCGTTGAAAACAGGGACATAGTTTGTTTTTTCTTTGTGTCACCTGTGCTTAGCATAGTACCTGGAACATAGGTTCGGTTGTTTCAGTCGTGTCTAACTCTTTGTGATCCTATTTGGGGTTTTCTTGGCAAAAATATTGGAGTGGTTTGCCATTTCCTTCTACAATTCATTTTGCAGATAAGGAAACTGAAGCAAACAGGGTTAAGTGACTTGCCCAGGGTCACATTGCTAGTAAGTGTCTGAGGCTAGATCTGAACTCAGAAAGATGAGTCTTCCTGACTTTAGGGTTGGTATTCTATCCACAGTACCACCTAGCTGTCCCCAGAATATAGTAGGCATTTAATAAGTTCTTGTTGACAAAATGATTAAGGGAAATATCTGCATTGATGAGATCATTAGGTATTTTGAGTATATTAGGTCTATCTCATCCCAGGCCAAGAATCTATTACTTCAGAATTTTACTCGTTGGTATAGAAATTCAAGGGGCAGCCAGGTGGCATAGTGGATAGAATGCCAGGCCTGGAGTCAGAAAGATTTATCTTCCCAAGTTCAAATCTGGCCTCAGACACTTACTAGCTGAACAAGGCACTTACCCTGTTTGCCTCAGTTTCCTCATCTGTAAAATGGGCTGGAGAAGGAAATGGCAAACCACTCCAATATCTTTGCCAAGAAAACCCCAAATAGGGTCAACAAAGAGTCAGACACTACAGAAACGACCAAACAACAACAGCACAGAAATCCAATCTTCTCCGACGTCTTCTTAACCAGA